GTAAGGAATGTGGGAAATGTTTTAGGAATTCCTCAGGTCTGACTGAACATAAACGAATCCACACTGGAGAGAAGCCCTATGAATGTAAGGAATGTGGAAAAGCCTTCAGACAGTCCTCACAGTACAGTATACACATGCGAACCCACAGTGGGGAGAGGCCCTATGAATGTAAGGAATGTGGAAAAGCCTTCAGACAGTCCTCACACTGCAGTATACACATGCGAACCCACAGTGGAGAGAGGCCTTATGAATGTAAGGAATGTGGGAAAGCCTTCAGACAGTCCTCACACTGCAGTATACACTTGCGAACCCACAGTGGAGAGAGGCCTTATGAATATAAGGAATGTGGGAAAGCCTTTATCAATGTCTCAGGCCTCATAGTACATAGAAGACTTCATGGTAGAGAGAGGCCCTATGAATGTAAGGAGTATGGGAAAGCCTTTACAGGAGGCTCAGGCCTTAATGTACATAAAAAAATTCACAGTGGTTAGAGGCCCTATGAATGTAAGGAGTGTGGAAAAGCCTGTACAAGAATGTTATCCCTTAGCGCACATAGAATAAAACACAGTGGTGAAAGGCCCTATCAGTGTAAAGAATGTGGAAAAGCTTTCACAAGAGTTTCAGACCTTACTAAACACAAATAGAATCTGCATAGATGAGAGGCCCTATTAGTGTAAGGAATGTGGGGAAAGGTTTACTCATTTCTCAGCTTTCCGATCACATGGAAATATCCACAGGGTAGAGCGGCCCTATGAATGTAAGGAGTGTGGGAAAATGTTAAATCATCACTTAACCCTCCTTTCACATAAAAGAATACACAGTGGAGAGAAACCATATGTATGTAAAGAGTGTGGGAAAGTCTTCAGATATGCCTCACAATACAGTACATACACGCTACTCCATACTGCAGAGAAGCCCTATGAATGTTAGCAGTGTGGGACAGTCTTTACTCAGGCCTCACACCTCATTGTACATAAAAGGATTCATAGATAAGAGACTTTTTTATGTCCAATTTTAGATGATTCTTCTATACAGCTACTATGAAGTGAGCAAAATTAAAAATACTGTGCTTAATGTGAGCAAAGTTCTCACAGAAATATGACAGCTTCATTGTAACTGCAGGGATATATCCTCATCATTGTTTGTTATTTTGCCATTCACATAATTCACAATAAAATATTTTTTTAAAAAATGCATAAGATAGATACAGTTTTTGCCTTTATGGAGCTAGTTCAGTGGAAGATTTGTACATGTAAACAGCATTGCCAAATGAGTGTGGATATACAGGGTGCTGGGAAAGCCCATAGAAGGGCCACTTATCCCAGGTTTTGAGGTCAAGAAAGGTTCTCAGGAGAAAGTTACAGAAAAGTTGATGTCAGTAGGCTAGGTAAGACTTAGCTAGGTGAAGATGAGGGGTGGGAGTATCCTAGGGACAGCATTACAAAGTCTTTAAGGCAAGAAAGGGTTTAGAGTATTTGAAAATTAAAATCAATTGAGTTTTATTAAAGTCAATCATACAAGGTAGAAGGAATGGTAAGAATTGAGCTTAGAGGTAGGTGGGACCACATCATGTTGGGCCTTATAGTTATGAAGTGGGAAGGATAGGGTAATGTGAAACATATAATAACTCTAATCAAGGAAACCATATAATAAGATTTACATTTTAGAAAGACGGCTTCTAGCTGTTATTGTTGGGGTATGGTAATGGTGGTGGGGAGGATGGTAAAGTTACCACTTCTAAAGACCAATTCAGAGATTTGAAGTTATTTAAGGCAGAGATGACAGTGGCCTGAACCTAGAGAGTGGAAATGGGGGTGGAAAAAAATGGATCCATTAAAGAGATGTTTAAGAGAAAGAATCACTATGGATCAATGCTGGAGATGAAGGAGTTAAGTATGATTATCAGAAAACATGGTGAATGGTGGTATCATTCCATGCCTGAGATAAGGAAACCAGTGGGAGGAACATTTGAGGGGGTGGAACACTGGGATAAATAATAGGTATAATTTTAGATATGTTGTATTTAAGGAGATATTCAATAAGCAATTAGATAAATGATTCATCAAAATATTTGAAAAGAATGTATAGCTTTGTGAGTCATCACATAGAATTTATTATTACCATCAAAGGAGTGGATGAGAGTACCCCCATTGTGAGCAGAGTGAGATGAAATAGAGTCAAAGAGAGAAACCTTAAGATGCCGGGGTCTGACCTCAACATAGTTGTGTTGTTCACGAATGTTTGGTTCACGAGGAGGGGAGATCCAGCGGCGATAGAGATAGCAAAAGAAACAGAGACGCAAAGAGAGAGACAAAGAGACACTCCGAAACCAGAGTGAATGCTGGACTGGCATCAGGCAGATCCTGCATTGCAAACATCTCAGCCATGAAGTCCGTAATATGCTGCATAGTAAACATCTTAGCTAAACAGGCAGTATGGTTCAAGGCTGGACTGTGCCCCTTGCATGCTGTAACGCACGCCTTGACAGTCGTAATGCACCTGGATTCGTTCTGCGCCTTCCTTTTATTTAGGGGAGGTACTTTACACAAAGCTAGGAGGGGCTAAGACAAGATACAGCTATCAATCTTACTTTTCCAGACATTCAGGCAACTTTACATCATACTTCGCAGGTTCAAATCTCACCACCGCAACTTGGTTTCTCAAGCTTAATTAACATACCTTTTAGCACCTAGCCTCAAATGGAGGGAGGAAAGGGAGGAGTGGGAGGATTCCCATTATGTCAGCTGCCCAGCCCAGGTTCTTCAGAAAAAGAGGCGCCTGGGTGAATAGGCAGCACCTGGAAACACTTTAGGGAGGGCATTCCTATTGTCCTTGGAACAGACCATTGAGCCACCCAATTTACCTTGAATGAATTCTCTGAGGGAAGAACTTTGCTTGTTTGGCATTTTACAGTCTTGGCTTTTAGGAAAATATTACATTTATCTGTGTATATCAAGGGCTTCATGTCTGCAATTAATAAAACATAATTGGACACTAAGATGAAAAATAATTTGTTATTAACTGCCAGGTGGCTAGATCTGTTACACTCGGGCCTATAGGGCTTCGAACCTCTGACCAGGCCTTCACGGTCTGCAACATTAAGAAACACTGGTAAATAAGTAATGAACATAGATATAGGCACACACAAAAAATACTGAGAAGGAATGGGTAAGGCAGTATAAAGAACAGTTGGAGAATATGGTATAACAAAGCCAAGTAAAGAGAATTGCTTACAAGAGGACAAGGTCAACAACAGCAATGCCACTGATAGCTGGAATATTCAAAGGATTTAACAACAAAGTCATTAGTGAATTTACCAAGTCTGGTCTCTGTAGAAGGCAGAAACCAGATTGCAGTGGATATTAAGAAGTGAAAACAATGACTCTAGTCAGGTCTTTAAGAGCTGAGGCTGTGAGGAAGAAGCCTTCAGTAGCTGGAAGAAGAGTGGTAGGTATAACTGCAGAAACCTTTGAGTTTAGTGTTCTTGCCTAATAGTTTTTATAGTATTTTCTCTATAAAATAAGAAATCAGGTCACCTGCTATGAGTGAAGGGAAAGTGATGGAGTCAGTATTTGAAGAGAAAGGAGAAGTTCTTAATAGTCACTGTGGAGAATGGAAGAGAGAACTGACAAAGATCGTGGAAGGATTTCTGGACAATACTATGAGCCTGTGGACTCCTGGCGTGGTCCTGGATTGTTAACCACAGGTCGGTGATTCAAACTCACCAGCTGCTCCTTGGAAACCATGTACAGGGTTGCTATGACTCGGAACCAACTTGATAGCACTTAACAACACACCATGAGCCTAGTTGGGGTTGAACACTCTGAATTTATATTTGCAGCAACTTGGTCAGCTTTTTCACCAATTGTGGTCAGATTTTCATCAATTGTGAACAGCCTAAGTGTGTGTATGGAAAAGTTAAAATCAGGGTTGTTTTTTCCAGGTAGGTGCAGCAGCAGACTGTCCATAGGACAGAATTGAGCATATTTGCAAGTGACTCATAGAAATGATGTAACTTAAACTGTAACCTGAATTAAAAAGGGAGAAAAGACCGCAGAAGGTTAATAATTGCTCTGCTTATCAAGGAAGCAGAGGTCCTTATAAAATAGAAAAATAGCTTCAGAGGAAACAATTGAATGAGAAAATAAAAAAAGACAGAAGGTTATAGGCAGAAAGTGGGATATCTATTATTTTAAGAGGTAGAGCAGTTTTAGGCAATCAAAAGGTTTAAAATGTGCCTATTGGAGTTGGGCATCTCAAGTGGAAATGAGAAAAATTCATTTAAAATAGAAGCTAAATAAATGGAGGATGTTACATGTGTCTGTGAGAATGGTGAAGTCAGGGCAGAATTTGGGATGGAGAGAGTGAAGCAGTAGCTAAATTTTTTGGTGCGTGTTAGAGAACAACTGGAAAACGAGTAGATGCCTTGAAGGAGTAAGGAGTAGGATCTCAAAATTGAGGGAATGCTCAATGAGATGGATTGATAAAATGGCCACAAAAATGGATTCAAATATACCAGCAATCATGAAAATGGCAAAGGACAGGGCAACATTTCATTCCGCTATACATAGTGGTCTTGGTGTGGCACTGTCGGATAAACACTTGACCGGTTTGAATAGCAAGGTTCGTGGTTCAAACTCAACAGCTGCTCCTCAGAAACCCTATGCAGGATCACTAAGAGTCAGAACTTAACAACAACAATGTACACAGTAGGTTGCCATGAGTCAGAGTCAACTCAATGGCAACTAGTAATAAGGTGATGCTGTAGGATAAGCATTGTACTGCTTGCTAACCACAAGATCGCCAGTCAAACATACCAGCTGCTCCTTGGAAACCCAATACTGGTTCACTATCAGCCGGAACCAACTCAACATCACTTAATAACAACACCAATAAAGCCTAATTATAGAAAATTTAAACAAACATAATTTTTTACATAAGAGCCATTAATGGGGGTGCACGGGGAATGTACACCTAACTTCAGATGGCAGAGGAGACTGAGCACCCTCTATTTGACAGAGTTGGAGGTGAAGTAATTATCATTAGATGGCAGCACATCCAGGAGACTACAGAGGAACATGTTGAAATGAAAAAAGGATAGGAATTGGACCCACGTAATATGGACTATTGCTTTCAATATTCTTCTCCAACACCACAATTCAAATGCATTGATTAGTATATGATTTTCCTTACTCATTGTCTAACTTTCACATGTAAATAAGATGATTAAAAATACCATGACTTTGGTTAAGTATCCTTAGTCCTTAAACTGATTTCTTTGCTGTTTAGCAGTTACTTTAAAGAGATGTTTTGAAACAGATTTATCTAATACAATATATCTTTTGATTTCTTTATTGTCGTTTCCATGAGTGCTGGTAGTGGATCCAAGCAAAATGAAGTCTTTGACAACTTCAATCTTTTCTCCATTTATCATAATGTTATTTATTAAAGATTGCAGTTGTGAGGAATTGTTTAGGTTCAAACCCAGAAG